AGATTTTACAGGGGTATTATACAATCAATTCAGGTTATCACAAAATAACAGATCACATATAAATATGTTTTGATTTTATTTCTTATAAAAAAAAATTGTATCGAACCTCCAGCTTATTTTTTTCAAAAGAATCTCGACTTGGATATGGAATGGGTTAAGTGTGATGTAACGGGTTCATTCCTCCTATTCCCACTTTTTATAAATCTGGTAAGAAAAGTTAAAATTTCATGTGGGAATAGGGGGAAAACTTGTGCAAACAAAGGATTATACTGTATAAACATTGTTTAATCAACTTTTAATTGACAAGTGTTTTTTTTATAGGTAATAGGTTATTTTTGTATGTGTATGAATTCTGTGTTTTTAATTTAAATAAATACGCAAGAAATGGAAACAAATACAAGTTAATTATTTTATTTCTTTTATAACACAAATTCAACAGTAGATTCAAGCAAGCATTATAATATGAAACAAACTATACAAATTAACAAGATTCAAGATTCTTTATTTCTCAAACACCATACAGTTACAATGGTACAAAGAAGTTCATCAAAAGTTATAACATAACATAAACACACATGACAAGATGAGATGCAAAAAAATAAATAAAATAAAATAAACAGTGGCGAAGAGTGGTGATTTACCAGGAAGACTTACTTGAAAAGTTATAACCCTGATAAATTTGCACAGCATTTTTAACTCATTTTTGTATTTTAACTGAAATAGTTTTACAAACTTTAGTATATTAATTCTGTGCAAGAAAAAAGTATTCAAATATTGTGCTTGAAAATTTGCCAAAGAGCTACACTGCAAAATGTAATGAAACTCATCACCAATCTCGTTGCATTGACATAAATTACAATATCTATAGTTACGTTCAATTTTATTCCATCTACCAGTTTCGATGGGTAACTTGTGGTTTCCCGTTCTAAATCTGCAATATGTTATTCTATCTTTATCACTTAAAACATTCAGATATTCTTCATATTCAAATTTTTGTTTAAACAATTTGTAGGCCAAACCTTTTGATGAATAGTCAATATCTGCTCTACATTTCTGTTGAAACTGATTAAATAGTATTTTAAACTAATACCCAACCATATAGAATTAAAATTTCCTTGTGATAACCATATATTGCTATATCCACATCTATCTAATGTATCTTTAATGTATTTCAACCAATCTGACCTAAATTGGTTTTCAGAATTCTTCGAGAACATGTATCTGTATAATATTATAGGAATCCTGTTATCCTCCCCATTTACCATTTTTGACCAAAAATTAACCATATGCAGCTGTATATATAAAGACATGGGATAAATACCAAGTTCACCATAAATCATAAAATTAGGTGTCGACTTCTTAAGATTTAATAATAATTTACAAAATTTTAAATGCACTCTTTCTATAATATCAGTATCACTGAAACCCCAGATCTCACATCCATATAGTAGGATTAGCTTCACAATTTTATCAAAGAGATCATATTGAGTTTTCAATGACAAGTTGTGCAACCTCCCCTTTTTCAATACTTCATACATTGCTTTATTTGCTTTTCGAACTAAAATTTTCTTAGCACTCATAAAGCTACCTGTTCTTGAAAAATTCAACAGCGTTAAAACAAATCAAACATTATAGCACACACCTTAAAAATTCAATGTATATAAGTCTATTAAAGTTTATTAATCTATTCAAGTGATTAAGGTACTGTTGTGACTTCCTGGTTGCGGTATCTATCCATAAGATTTCTAATCTGTTGTTGATTTCGACATACTTTGGTTTTTGGGCCACTCTCTCTGCCCACCGGCTGCATACTGGATCATGGTCAGGGCATAGCTTCCTCATGTTTCAGTAGTTTAAAGATGTTTGGATGTGGGTGTTGAACATATTTCTTCAGCTTGAATTGCCATCCCTCTAAATGATGTGTAGTCCTCAGTCCCTGTGTTTTGTAATGGTCCCATCAGTATTTTGTTACATTGTCTGGAAAGGGCGTTTAGCTGATGTTAGTATCAATCTGATCAATGTCGGTTAGGGCATTAAACCACACATCTTCGACCTCAGGTATGAAACCTCAAATTCAATGATTTTTTAATCTTACTTCTATTTATCTGACTTATTATTATTTATTTTAAGGTAATTCTTTGAAGAAGAAAAAACATATTACAAACAAACAGTGTATTATTTTTTTTTTAAATAATATACTTAAACAGTGTATATGTTTTCTTTAAAAAAAATACTGGTAAATCTTAGGTGAATTCTTAATTAACCTTGATTGTTATAAAAACAAATTATTTATCAAAACATCTATTGTTATTTGCATGTGGGAATAGAAGGAATAGTGATTTTTAAAAAGTGGGAATAGGAGGAAGACACCATGTAACGGTTCCATAGGGACAGGTGGAAAAATTCGTTAAAAAACGTGTTATTTTTAGATTCAGAACATTTGACCAAGCGGTTAAATATATGTGATATGTACCATAGTATAGATGCACTCTTTGATGTGCATTAGCAGTAGCGGATTGAGTATTTTCAAAAGGAAGAGAGGCGGAGAACTCCACCGAAAATAGAAAAATCTTCTTGTCAACAACTAGTAAAATGTATTTAATGGCATACGATACAGTTTTGATCCCACGGAGAATTTTTGATGAAAGTTTGCATAAAAGCTATTTTTCACCTAGTCAATTCAAATATGTAACAAAAAATGTGCTACTTTTAGAGATAAATGGGGTCGAAATTTTAGACATTTACTGGACATTTCGGTTTCTTCGACATTTCTATCCTTTGGAAATACATACCTAACTTTTTTGTTATGCTTTATACAAACTTTCAACAATGGAAGGTAACGAATTAGTAAAAACATGTCTGACGACACCCAAGTGTATGAAAACATAAAAATTGACGAACCATCTGTTTAAGACGTTGATTGTTGGCTACCACAACAATAAACAGATGTAAAGTAACAATAGTTATTTAGATATGTATCGATGTGTCAGTTTTTGATGGTTTTACCGTATGGGTACCTCTCATCTACTTCATATAATCACATTACTCCATCTCCTCAACAATTTTACGACCATGATGCTTTTTTCGATCGACAAAGCAATGGCCATTGGAAAATATAAATTGAAAGTAGTTTTTTCTATGAGAACCCACAAGGGACAAGCATAGTAATAGGCAATAACAACGATCTTGATACGTCTGTCCCATGCCAAAGATTATTGTCATTGGTACTTGTCATTATCTAAATTTGATATGACTATAAAATTATTTCTCTAGTAATATTACATAATTACTGTCTGAGAACTGTTGTAGCCTGCCTGCCAACTGTTGTGGACTACCTGCCAACTGTTGTAGACTGACTGCCAACTGTTGTAGACTGACTGCCAACCCAACTGTTGTTGTAGACTGACTGCCAACTGTTGTAGACTACCTGCCAACTTTTGTAGACTACCTGCCAACTGTTGTAGACTGACTGCAAACTGTTGTAGACTACCTGCCAACTGTTGTAGACTGACTGCCAACCGTTGTAGACTACGTGCCAACCGTTGTAGACTACGTGCCAACCGTGTAGACTGACTGCCAACAGTTGTAGACTGACTGCCAACCGTTGTAGACTGTTGTAGACTGACTGCCAACTGTTGGCGACTACCTGCCAACTGTTGTAGACTGACTGCCAACTGTGTTGTAGACTACCTGCCAACTTTCGTAGACTACCTGCCAACTGTTGTAGACTACCTGTCAACTGTTGTAGACTACCTGCCAACTGTTGTAGATTACCGGCCAACTGTTGTAGACTGACTGTCAACTGTTGTAGACTACCTGCCAACTGTTGTAGACTACATATCAACTATAGCGAACTGCATGAAAACTGTTGTGGAACTGTTATAATTGTTGATTCAGACGTCTGTATGTTCATATTTTTGTAAAAATACTTCATTAGAAATGTGCGACGCATGCTTTTAAGCCCTTTTCAACTGATTTTTATACTTTGTTCTTATGTTGTGCTGTTACACCACTGTCCCAGGTTGGGGAGCCCGCAAACATGCTTTACCCTACCACACTATGTATGTGCCTGTCCCAAGTTAGGAGCCTATAATTCAGTGGTTGTCGTTTGTTGCTGTATCATATTTGTTTTTCGTTTATTGTTTTGTACATACAATAAGCCGCTAGTTTGCTCGTTTAAATTGTTTTTTATTGTCATTTCGGGGTTTTTTAAAGCTTGATGTGCGGTATGAGTTTTGCTCATTGTTGAAGGATGTATGGTGACCTATATAGTTGCGTACTTCTACGTCATTTTGTTTCTTGTGAAGAGTTGTCACATGGGCAATCATACCACAACTTGTTTTGTGTTATAATCCTTTGCACCTAACAGTTTTTACTTTTAGGCACTTCCATTTCTCGACTTGATGCACTAAACTATAATTTCTTTCCATCAATACACCTGTAGGTTACCAGCCCGAATATAGTCTGCTTAAACCAGTGGCGCTAAATGTATTACATGTTCTTTTACTAAAACTGTTTAATACTTAATAATTTATTTTTAAACAATAGTTTATTTTCCAAATCTTGTAGTATACTCTCTATTCAGTTGATTTTATGATATTTTGATTTGGTACGTACTTGTACTTAGATTTAAATGTAAGCGTATGTACATGTTACCGAGGATGACCAAGTCCATTTTATCTTTTCCACATATTTTAATTTCTTTTCATATTTGTGAAAACAGTGCGAGTGAAGCACTTTCGATAAACATTTGAACAGGCTTTTAATTAATACATATTGAAAAAAGCTGTTTACATTTTGACTGCACAGATTCATGGCTCTTCTATAAGATCTTTGTATAGTGTAATTGCCTTTTGCTTTTATTGTTATTATACTGTGTAATGAAAATCGTCCTATCCTCTGCTTTGATAATATGTGTTAGTAAGAATGGTTTTAATTATCAGGAATACTATGACATATTACCACTTATGATGTAACATGGTTTTTATTTATGCGGAATTTTGTGAGAGTTTGGAATTTTGGCATCGAAGAATGATGAAAACACATGCTATCTATTGCAATCAACTCTATCTATCTATCTTTGTTTAACTGCAGCAGCAGATTTTACTTTGTTACTTTCACTTTCTGAACATATTCAGAACCGAAAATGCTTGGATTTAGCCATCTGATTGAAGAGGTGCATCCATTCGGAAAAACAACGTGCAGACATTTGTTTGATCTATGCTAACCAAACCATTCGATATTGACTATCCATCTGCCATAGTAAATCTGACATAAATATGATGAATCTAAGACATAATTTTGTTATCAATGATATATTTATTCTGGATGTAAATATAATAGTGCAAGCACCTGCCGTGTAGTACTTATATAAGTCTTGATATATCCTCCATTGTATATTAACAAATTTTCATTCGTGGAACTGTAAGATTCATATTCATCCAGATGTCTACAGTCGTTTAAAAGTTTATTGAGAATTTCTTCGTGAAGTTATTACTAGGATGTATATAATGCAATCATATAATGAAACTAATTTACACTTGAGGATTTTGGCAGCTTTCAAGTAAACCGTCTGCCGTACGATAATAGTTTTAATTTCTCGTATCATTTTATTATGTTCTGTTGGATTTGCTTCATTGCAAAGTCATTCTGGAATCAATTAGACTTAGATTTAGAAACCAACGCTCCGAAACGAATTTATTAATAAAAAAATGGAAATTATAACATTATCACATTTCGTCTTTGTGATGGCTCAAGCAAATAAATAAATTCGAATCTAAAAGTTTTGCTCACAGCAGCTGCTTGTTGATATTAAACACCACCAATTTAATGAAGATAATGGCCTTTTATGGTGGAAATTATTTCTGACTCATCTATATTTACATAATATTGCAAAATTAAACCAGTCCTCCATTGCCTTATTCATGTGTGATATTCACTTCAAGGATGACGTTTTGTTCTGTGTGGGTAAATGTGAAGCATTCACTTTTTGGCGGATCTTCATATAACTGCAGACGACAGGAGGCCGCGTGGTCCGAAAACTGGGATAGCGATGAAGGTGAAGCATTATGTTTTGTAATTGTATTTTATTGAAATGCAGGTTAGATCTGGTTTATTAGTATATTTGAAGCTCAACAACAATTTAAACATTTTAAAAGTCCGTTTTTAATTTCAAATGTTACATTTCGAATAGAAAATGACATTTTTTTTTATATTAGAACAAAACCATTTTTGAAAGCTCTTTTTTTCTTTTATTCGATATGCTTTTCTATTCTCGTGATACGGTCGCGAGAGGAAACTTTGACTTTTAAAAGCATCACATAGCTATTGTTTCGATACAAAAGGAATCCATTTATTTGCCATTAAAAATATCCATAGTCGAATGATTCTGTGTAATCAATGTCTCGACTATATTACACTAGTCAATATTTACGTGTTACAGATCGATTTTGTCCAGAATTCATAATATAATATACCGTGACTGGGAACTATTATCATTGCTTATCTTTTTCTTCATCATCAAGGTTGGTTATTTTATCTTTTTTCTTTTTAGAGCGGAACACAAAATAGAGATCATTTTCAAATAATGATGCCACATTTAAAATGTAAGAATGCGTCCGAATAACTACGATTGCGTGATTGCGAACAACATTGATGAAGCAAAAAATGTTCCACTTAAATTTGCATTAGATATGTTGTAAATTTTGATTAATTTGACATGTGTAGATTTTCATTGTTTTTTTTATTGCTCTGTGATTTAGTTGTCCGACTGATTTTTTTTTAGATGCCGATTAAAATACTATATACGTGTTGAATCGAGACGAAAAAGACACGACGAACGTCATGACAAGGATGTAAATTTATATACTATCATGTTTTTACACATAGTTTAATGTTAAAACTGTTTTTTTTAGTATGTTCATTGGAAATAATAAAATAAAACGTTTAGATGTAAACGGTTTGACCTACCAGCATTCAAGTTTAAAATAGTGATAAGCTATGTCTAGTAAGAATTGATTTTTTCTTTCACATAATACTGGTTGCAGTAATGCTTGCAACAATTAAATTAATTGATCGACAATGAACAGCATGTGTGTCATGCCAATAATGACTCATATATCATTTACAGTTTTCTGATTTATCATTATTTAACTTTTCTATACAGATACTGATATTTTTTTAAGATATTGTAATCTTCGATTTTTTTTTATAACCAAATTAGAAAATATGAGCTAATTCAATTAAGTCTGAACACTGATATACATTACCATAAAAAAAAACATCGGTCTTGTTATGTAACTTACATTTTACCTTTGGTATAATACCTACAAAGGAACACTACCTTTAATATATGCTTAAACTGTTTACCATATGTGTTGTTCGTTGTTATGTTTATTTATACGAACGTGTCGGGTGCTGGTGGTTTGTATGGTCTGTTGTTTATCTATATGTAGTACTTCCGGTTACCCTTTTATGCGTTATCAGAATGTTTAGGAATTTATCATGACATTAACATGTCCATGCATTAAAAGAGGAATCATGAATCATTACATCAACTTTTGTATTTATCAAAAGAAGGTTGAGGATTTTATCATGACCTTAAACATGATCACGTATTTTTAAAAGACTATTAAGAATATTAAGTTTGTATTTAGTTAAAAATAAATGTATATGACACGTGTGTATCCTAAAAGTTCAACATCTCTCATTACATTTCTTACATTAAGAAAGAAACGTCCATGCATTATAACTAACAACAAACATGAATAGACCCGGGATTTTGACCTTGACATATTGTACAGGGAAGTCTATGCACTCTCTATAGATATAATTATGGTTATTCTTGTTGTTTAGTTGCAGACTCGTTGAGGTGTACCCCACATTTCGTCTTATTCAATATAAATGTCCTCCAGCTTAATATTCTATATCGCTTCGAATCAGTGAACAAATCAATTACATTTAAGTAAAGAAATAAAATACTAAAAACGAAGAGGACATCATGGTCAGTTTACAACAGAAAGTATCGAAATCTTAATCTATGAGTCTTAAATCCATTTTCATTTCTATTGCAGAATCTGAAGGCGAAAACCCACATACTTGGAGGTTTTGGAGGAGATTTTCATTACGGAGAGGGGACAAGGGGAAAAGAGAACTTCTCCACAGAGAAGATGATGAAAAATACGAAGCTAGTCACAAACTGTTTCCGGATGAACATTGTAAAAGAACCAACAGCTTAAAACCACCACCTAAACCACCTAGATTATTTCTCTTTAGATCTTCGTCCATTAGTACCCCACGTTCATCATTTGTTGGACCTCCAGATCGGAACTCTTTCGTCATGTCTCAAGCATATCAAAGCTCACGAGCACGTGACAGCAACGTGCCGACTGCACATGTCGTTCCTGTTCAGAAGGAGAATGGCACTATTTCAAAACACATCGTAAATAATAATAACATTCAAAACGAAAAACAAAAGCCGGATGATGATAAACAACTGTCTAATGAGTTCGATACAATAATGTTGGGGTCACCATATTCATCTTCTAAAATTAAAATAGTTACGCCGGACTTAAATCCACGGCGCACAATTGGCAGATCACGAAAAATGTCTGTAGATGTGTCTTCATCAGATAGTCATCGATTGGTCATTCAAAATGCTTCTGAACTACTTTGTCAAACGTTGGATCCTACTATCTTATTGGATGACTTATCAGAAAAACATGTTGTATCTGCAATTGACTATCAGGCTTTTAAAGGTCACCCTGACAGACGATTAGTTTGTGAAAGTTTGATGCAGTCATTAATGGAAGGCACATTAAGTCAGTTCCTTAGTTTCTGTGATGTCCTCAAATTAAAACTGACATATCATGATATCGCTGTGATTCTTGACGTTATGAAAGAAACATATGACGTTATTTTTAACATTCCTGTCACTGGCGTTTGTTCAACGGGTATACCCGACGAAGACAAGTCTATAACGTTCGAGATTGGATACTTTAATAACCAACTTGGAAAGTTGAAACCATTAGTGCAATTGGAAAAGGCGCGTGACTATAAACGTTATTCTCGCGATTCTATGCTTCTTAAAAGATCTTCTAGAATTTCGTACATGTCATCGTCTAGTGATACGACTTTAATTGATGAGGTGGCAGGGCTCGACTTGAGCGTGCCGATGATAAACATTAGTATTTCCGGTTACTCACTGTGTGGCTCTCGAGCTAAGGCCGTGGCAACACTAATAGAAAAATACGAATGTATTTTAGAACTTCATGTGGGGAAAACACAAATGCAAGGAGCTGATATAGGCACACTTGCAGTTGGTTTGCCAAAATCGAATATATCTGTTTTAGATTTACGTTTAAATTCTGTCGGCAATGAAGGGGCCAAATTACTTTCTTGTTTCCTACAAAAAAATTCAAGCATAAAACATCTGAATTTATCGTCTACAGGTGTAGACTGTGACGGCTTTAAAAACATTTGTGAAGCACTGAAACATAGTACATGCATTAATGAATTAGACTTCAGTTTTCTCGAAGTTGCTGATAGTGGATGTATTGCTATTGGCAACATGCTAAAACAAAACAGATCATTGACAAAGCTGCGTCTAAGAAGTGCAAATATTTCATGGATTGGTTGTGGAATATTATTCGAAGGCGTTCAACAAAGCAAAACATTAATAGAACTTGATATGAGTCGAAATTTTATTGGCGATAACGGCATAGAAATGATGTGTCGCCATTTAAATGACAAGACAAGTTTATTGGAATTAAATTTGGAAAACTGTGGAATAACAGCTTCCGGTTGCTCATTATTGGCAGATGTCATTCAAAGTTATAAGACCATCAAAAATCTGGATTTAAGCTCCAACTTTATTGCCGATTCCGGTATTTCCAAACTTGCCGCGTCATTAGAACGCAACAAGTCCATCAAAACATTAGGACTGAACATGTGTGGAATTACGAATGATGGGTTTTCAAAACTGTTAGATGTTCTGGAGTGTAATCCTACAATAACATTAATGAAACTGTGTTACAACCGACTAGGCCGTGAATACACTAATCCAGCTGCTGCGTCTGATGATCTCAGATACCGCGTGCGAATTGTAACATCTTCAAATCCAAAACTTAAACTTTTATTATGGGGAAACGCTTTCGACGATGCATAATGAGGTTGTCGGAAATTATCATTACTAGTCCGGTGAAAATACAAACACTATCTTAAAACGTTCATTTTATAATCATGATAATTATAAGCATATTTATTTAATTTATATAAATCATTTAAAAATTGCTTCATTTAAATCTTTATATATAAAAATATGTGGTATGATTGCCAATGAGACGAATATCCACCAGACCAAATTAGAATGCTGTAAACAAGTACAGATTAACTTACATTATTCAACAATGAGCAAAACCTAAACCATAGTAGGCTACAATGTATAAAATGCTCTGTATTGGGATAACAAAAAACGAAACAGTTAAAAGAGAATTGATTTAATCTTTTAACGTTATACGAAGAACAAGTTTGGAAGACGGCAACCAAATACAACCACTTGACTACAGGCTCCTAGCTTTAGAAGGGCACACAAAGAATGTTGTGGGTTTTGATAAATTTGTAAGCGCTCAACCCTTCCATAACCTTGGACAGTGATGTAACAGAACAACATTAAAACAAACTGTAATAAACTGCTTCGCTGAGCGCAGCTGGATACGCCCACAGAGTTCCAACCCTGAACAGTTGGGGCAAAAATGGACACAATATTCAAGCTTGATACAGGTCTGAATTTGGATTGTAATTAAATATTTGACATATTATAGGTTTCTGAATAATATAGTCAAAGAACTTGAAATTGGTTATATGAATTGAATTTATATTCAATTAAAGATGTCTTGCTGTTGTGCAATACTTAGTAAATCTGTTGTCAGACTATAAACAAATAAAGTTCAATTTCTTCTCAATTTATGAAAATCAATAGGGAGATTACATCAATAGCTATAAATAATTCACCAAAGTTTCATGAGAATTGCTGAAAGCATTTTTGAGTTATTGTCCAAAAACTGGAAAATCCCCCCTTTTTTAATGAATAAAACCCCATAACTCAGAAATGTAAAATCTAAAATTTATAAAATTCTAAAGGTAGCTTACATCAACAGATATAAACAATTCACCAAAGTTCATGAGAACTGCTGAAAGCATTTTTTAGTTATTGTCCAAAAACTGGAAAATCCCCTTTTTTTTATGAATAAAACCCTGCAACTCGGAAACGTAAAATCTAAAATTTATAAAAATGGAAAGGGAGCTCATGTCAATAGATATAAACAAATAACCAAAAGTCCTTGCAAGATAGTGAAAGCATTTTTGAGTTATTGTCGGAAAACTGGAAAATCCCCCCTTTTTTAATGAATAAAACCCCAAAACTCGGAAACGGTAAATCTGAAATTTATAAAAAACGAAAGGGAGCTCACGTCAATAGATATAAACAATTCACCAAAGTTTCATGCATATTGGTTAAAGCTTTTTTGAGTTAATGTCCGACATGTTGACGACGGACGGACAGACGGTCAACGGTATACCATAATACGTCCCGTAAACGGGCGTATAAAAATCAATTGAAAATAACTGGACTCTTCAATTCGGTAAAAAAATAATTACCAAATGACCAAAGACACAAAGTACCAATTAAAAAGTACTTGTAGTTTATGGAAGCTAGTTTTAGCTTGGAGATCATGAATAGTCCTTTTGGAGTTCATGCCATTCTTTTAGTTCTCTTGTTACCTAAATTGATTTATGAGATTTGAACATCGGTAAACTACTGTTTTATAAATACACCATGTTTCCCCAAAATAAGAGATCAATAAGAACATCTCAAATAGATTTAGAATATAAACACCATAAACGATATGAGAAAAGCATTACATTATGAAATGCTAAAAAAAATAGGTATCGACAGGCTGTAGGACTGCTAGTGCTTATAACCAAGGATCGTGTAATTACTGGAAAGTGATGTATGTTAAGTTATATAAAAAAAACTTCGAAAATAAAATCAACGTTCATAACGTAAGTACCAATATTAAAGATAATATGTGTACCTTTGAACAAAAAGACAGCAACACCTCTACAATTATTTATAACTTTAAACCGATATAGTCTAAAGACGCACATCTCCTTTTAGATACGAATACGTTTCTAGATATTGCTTATTACAGCATTACAAGTAAGAACGAGTGGATAACTAATCCTGTATAAACGGTTACTACTTAAATCGATGACAACAATCAGGTTGTTTATTTTTTCTGTTACATGTATGTAGAAGATTCAAATTGGCAGTTAACAGGTAAAATGTATACCTAAAACCAGAGGCTTACAAAAGCATATCCCTGCTATAACTGATACTACACGGTCAACCTGGGAAATGTTACTAATATGCTTGATTATTGCAAATCAGAGCAAGTTACAATGAGTTACTGGATTAAGCCAATATACAATCCATCATTCTATGACAACTGGTACATTATAAAAGATCATACGGCTTCGATTATAAAGCCAAAGCCTCAAATTTTAGTAAGATTAAAATGACAAACAACAGACTTAAATGAAAAAAAATCAAAAGTTTAACTTGAATTGTAAAAAAAAATCCATACCTCCTCAATCTACACAAAAGCAAACATACATAAATAAAACCTCAAACCTGTTGATGTTTTCCAGAAACAGAATTGTGTAAAAATATATGAAATGAACTGCATTAAAATCGGATGAAACAGGTACAGGTAGGGCCAGATACCAGATTTTACTTTGTGCTAAGGAACTTCAAGTCTTAAATTTCATCGTAATTAATTGATAAAAACAAAACATCCACACCATAATTCGTCCAGTCATGTAAAAACGTTACAAGTGTTTCTAACAGAAAGGCAAAACACACTATGTTTTGTTATTTTAGCCATCCTGTAATTTGAAATAGCTAGATTATGAAGTTCAATCAAAGTTTACTGACTGTATTTTTTATTTTCTATCAATATCCATTCCTATTAAAAGAAAATCGGTACCAAATCTTAAGACAAAGAATCAGTAAAAAACTATCTGAAAGAATATCACTGCTATTATTTATGTAAACCACGAATTCCTATGCCTAACAGATAGTTCTGTAAAAGTTCTGGCATAACTGATTCCGTCTTGCAGTTGTAAAAGATATTATGAATATTGGATACTAATCACATACATTTAATGCAGGTGAAATAGATGAAGAAAATGTTACATAAATCAAAAGAATAGTGTATGTCTTTATTTTTAAAATCATCTCTAATTAATGGCACCGCCCAAGATCATCTCTGTGATCATTTTAAGTTTGCTATATCCACGTATTACAATTATCAAAACAACTGAAATGATCCTTTAAACACTTGTTGAATGACATACAATACCCTTTAAATATAAACATGTGCATTCTATTTTAAAGTATGTGTTATTATTGAGTTGTCGTTTTGTTTTGAATTAATAAAAGGCTCCAATAGGACAACAAACCGGGTTTTTATTACATTTATTAGTGTCTTTTTTTAATTCGACATAAAGCAATGTGAGGCCATAACTCCTGAATGGCAAAATGTAAATCCATCAATATCGAATTTGACCTCAACATATTTTAAAAAAGTTGAAAGTATTGTATGGGAAAAAAAGTTCTCAACTTATTGCAGAAATAAATTGAGAATGGAAACGGGGAATGCGTCAACGACCAAAGAGCAGAATACAGCCCAAGGCAACCAATGGGTCTTCGACATGACTTAAATGCCATTTTTCAATCAATCAAGGACCATAACTCCTCAACAGCAAAAGTGAGAATTGTCATTATCGATCATGACCTCAATTTTGAGATCAATTATAACATATTAAAAATTATTTTGAAAACATTGATCGAACAGTTCTCAAGTTATCAATCAAGAACCATAACTCCTCAAAAGCCTGAACTCATGAAAGGCAAAAGCGAAAATCACTAATATCGAAATTTACCTCAATTTTCACTAGCGGATTTAGGGAACCCCCCTACCCCCCCCCCCCCCCCCCCCCCCCCCCCCCCCGCTTGATAATCTTGAAATATTTTTTGTGAGCAAAAAGCATACAATCACTTAATCATTTCTCTTTTAATGTTATCTTTATTAAAAATTGAATATTCAGTGAGGCACTTAATTGGGTGACACGTTGTCGCTACACTCCGTTAAATACACACATGTCATAATTACATTGGCCTGGGGTAAAATAATTAGAGGATCAAATGATTTAATTTAGACCATCCAAGGCTGCTATCCTATATTTTATTACTTTGTTGGTTTAATAATTAAAACGACGTTTTCTGATAGCTTGATTTGAAGAAAAATACTTTCTCACTCTATAATATCCACAAGATTTTTTTTATTATTTTTTTTAAATTCTGCAACTGCTGCGACACCTGCTGAATCTAAGGATATTGCAAACTTTATTTCCACATCTGTACCTAGTGCTGATATGTATAGCATTCTAATTGAAAACTGGCAACCACTTATATAGTTTTTTTTTCCCTTTTCCTAAACGAGAAACGTACGGGTTTAAAAGATGCTTCAAATATGCGTGGCTGCACTATTACCCATGGATTGTCTATTTAACTTCACCGACGGAATTTACTGCAAATTTTGCGTTTTGTTCGCTACTGACCACAACCTCGGACACATAATTTGGTAAAGGTAAATGGTGAATGTAAATTTCACGGAAACACAGAATACCACCAAACAGCCTTATTAAGAGAATTACAAGACTTTCAGCTCTTTCAAACTCTTAAAGACCTATTTGCGATCAACCATGACTAGCGAGAGACTCAATGGCCTTGCTTTAATGCATATTCATACCAGCACGGAAATTGTCAAAAGTGGAGTGATCGATCAGTATGCTAGAGCCTATAACATCAGGATGAAATTATCAACAATAGACTTTTTAGGATAACTTTGTACATTCAACGTCTGCCAATTTTCATTTATTGAAGTATTTTTATCTGGAATTGAATAATTAAACTAATCTAAAAATTCAATTTTGAGTAACCATATGACGGATGAACAAAAAGTGTGCCAATTATTGAAAACATAAGGTTTGGTTAACAATTAAGAAAACTTCTATAATGTTCAAAAATGCTTCTCAAACCACCCCCCCCCCCCCGCTTTAAGCTCTGGATCCGCGCCTGATTTTGTAATCAGTAACAATATAATTGAAAAGAATCGGTAGAACGGTTTATAAGTTATTGCATGGAAACACTGGAGCCGGCAGCTCGA